ATATATATATATATATATATATATATATATATATATATATATCTATATATCTATATATATATATATATATATATATATATATATATATATATATATATATATATATAAGCATTCCTCGAGCACTGCCCAACATCGAACACTAGTCCGGAAAACATACAATCATTACCTCACAAAGTTGAATGTAGAATCTCACGGTAAAGAATCTCTAACGGCTGCTCCGAGGACTCCCCGAGCTATCATTACCAAAATAATAATTAGTTAAAAACCAATAATAATTCTTAGGGTAAAATGACCATTTTACCCCTATCTAATTTGGTCCATGCCTAAGGCCCAAAACCATAACATGAAAGGCCCAATACTAGGTAGACTTCCCAAGCCCACCCAAGGCCCACTAGTGGCCCAGTTTTCTAAATTGGGCCCAACCCTTCTAATAGGCCTTACCCTAAAGCCCAACATATTCCAAGCCTAAATTATCTGCTTTTTGATGCCCCACTAAGGCCCAAAGTAAAGAAGTCTAAGGAATGGCCCAAACCGTAGCCCACATATGTGAAACCCACTCTGATTGAGTACGCAGGCGTACTCAGTTGTACGCAGCGCATACTAGGTTGTGGCATGTATGTTGCACTTACTAGGTTGTACGCCCAACGTACTCCCCTATTAAGCTCTTTTTTTTACTATTAAGCAATTAATGATTCAAACCAAGGGACCAAATCACAAATCTAAGCTCTATTTAATGTCTAAACCCATAAAGTCACTGACTTGGTGACTTTGCATTCTCTAAACAAGCCCAAACTCCAAAAATGGTATTCTACTTCCATGAAAATGGTCTTGACTCTTGCATGAACCCATTAAGACCTTCAAGAGGGCAACTTTCTGTCTTATGGACTCAAATATCACCAAAGGTGGCAAGCCTAAGCCTAGGAATTAGATTTAAACCATAAAGCTTCATCCTTAGGACCAAAAAGGTCCAAAAACTCAACATAAGAGATTTAAGAAAATAAACACCAAGTTCAAAGTTTTATACCTTATATGAATGCCAAATGTTGATAAGGTTTTGGATCTATAAGCCTTTGCTCCTTTGATGATGCTTCAATAATGGCTACCTTCCTTCAAAACACCGAGATGCTCTTCTAATGGCCTTCTAAGCTCCAAGAACACACAAGAAAGGATTAGGGTTTTGTAGGAGCTATCTAAGGGTGAGAGGGAGGCTGGTCTGAAGAACTTAATGTTCTTTATATTGTGATCAACCCTAAAAATTAGGGTTTGGGGACTCTGAACGTACGTTGGGTGTACTTCCTGTACGTTGGGCTTACGCCTCCAACACCTGCATCCACTTATCCATTCTACGTTGGGCATACCCTAGCTTATGTTGGGCGTACTCTCGCACATGCCACCTTGCATGCAAGTGATCTCCTTGCCACTTATCTCCATTAGGGACCAATATTGCCAATTACTTCAAAGTGTCATAAGTTCCACATCTGAGGTCCATTTCCAACGAACCTCATATCCATAAATTTGGTGAGAAGCACTATGCTCCTAACAACACATCATTATCAAAAAACCTCTGGAATAAGAACCCAAAATCCCTAGAAGATTGAAATGGGAAAAATCCTTCCTTTCCCAAGGCCCTAACCCATATGACAACTGATGATTGGGCCGCAGCCCCTAGCAACGAAGCACTTTAAAAACTAGGTGTTACAGATTGCTAAAAGCATGATGATGCATGTTGTCCCAAGCCTCTGAGACTCTATGTTTGAAGCCTTAATGAAACTTTCGTTCCAATTGTTTCTTCCTAATCAAGCTATTCATTCACATAAGTCATTGAGCTACCTTACTCTTCTCACATTGAGTTAAGAGTTCACTGCTTTGTAATTCATTTATAACAGAGATACACTTTGTTCTTCGCAACCAATCTACACTTTCTCCATCAATTTTGTGTTCATAAACGTACCCATTGAGACTCTTAGAAATTACCACTGAGGTTTATGGTTAAACAACATCTATGTTTATGATCTTGAAATCATTAGATTTTGAGTGAGACCCACAAATCTGAATTGACTGTGAACAATTAAATGTTCTAGATATTTTCACCAAGGAATTGATGCATAAAGACTTTATCGTTTGTACCAATATAGTTTGAAATCTCATTTTTATTTTTGAGTGATCTTAATGAAATGTTCTCGACCCAAGACATTTCTACCCAACTAGATCCATTATTTTTATTTATTTATTTATTTATTTATTTTTGATATTTCCATTATATACAATCTCTTAAAGAACTTCCAAAGCTTACTTGTTCTTATGGCTATACTGGTCAAACAAGTACTTCTTTCATATCTTCGAACTTTTGTCAACTTTCGGAATCTGGTTGAAGCTTAGCCACCCATGAAGCCTATAAAAGAAGCCTTTCACACTTTCTTAATAAACGGGTGACCGTAATTCAGTGGGATACCACACAAGCACTTCGAAGTCTCTCTTGACTTAGAAGGAAGAGATCGTTGCCCGAGATCCATCTGATTTTTGTGTCAATCTTGTTTGACGTCACAGAATCCAAAAATTTAATTTGCTTTATTTCTTTTTCTTTGGCACACTCTTGCACAAAAATCATTGTTATTTTTCAAAGTCTGGTTATAATTTCGATTAGTTACCTTTATTCCGAGAACAAGTATTAAGTTAAAAGGCGGTGGATTGGTTGATAATTCCAAATATGTCAAAACCAAAACGATAGTTTCATGGAGATAAGATTTCAAATCAGGCATAATTTTTAAATTCCCTGACATCACGCATTTCAGTTACAACTGTGTCTGACACCATTGATGAGTCGTCACAATTTTCTAGTCTACTCTTATGGGGTACGGGAACATCAAACGATGCTTTTCTCTCACCACTCATAGTATTCAAAACTCTCAAGGAAAAAACTGCGTTAACTCTCTACTGTTCATCGTATTCTTTAGTGCTTCAATGACAGCATCATCAAAAACCAATTCGTTCACCGATCAATCGGCCTCCGTCATCATGCAAAACGTGAAGCCAACCAGAATTTGATAATCGATCTTGATTCATCGTGTTACAGTGAAGGTCTTAAGCATGGGTAACTCTCTTTCACTAGTCCATCTCTCAAAGGCGTACTCCTCTGCAATCTACAACAAGGCAAATGAAATCATCCACTTCAAGGTTGCATCTCACAATACCTCGATCACCAAGCCCCACTTCACCAAGCTTTTAGGGCTTGCTTCTTCTGAAGCTCTTGTGGATCCAAAATCGATTTCCTCCAATGCTCTAATCGAGATGTTTACACTGGAGACATATCCCTATTGTCAAAGTTTAAGAAGCCTTTCTTCCCTTTCTTCCTCTAATGCGGAATGGGCTATTCACTCTCCTGTTCAAAAGTTATTCTGAAAGAGTTGCATGTTCAGACAACACAAGTAAGTTGTTCTATACTCTTATTTATGGTCTCTTCCATGGTGTCAATGTGGATTATGGTGCTATTCTGTGGACTCAACTCATCCAAAGCACAGTCTCCATCACTCGCCACTTGGAGACCTCTTATGCTCTCTTTTGGTCAATAGTGGTTAACCGTGCCCAAGGCCACTTCAAAGCCAAATTGATGCAGGATTTATCATGGATGCTATTTCGATACTCCAAACATCTACATTTGTGATATCTGGCCTTGGGAATTTCACATTTATCAGGTCCATTCCGGAGGAAATTTGGTGAAGGTTCCTCAAGATAATGTGATTATGAACGAATATCAGAAGTTACCTTCGTTTGGTGTTCGTCTAATGTCAGATGATTTACGAAAATTGATTGATGAGGGAAACAAATCGAAGAGGGGAGGCAAACGAAAAGTGAAAGCTGCTCCTTCTAAAATAGTTAAAGTCCCAAAGAAATTCAAGAAGCAAGCTAAGAAACCGAGATCTCCATCCCCGGTTGCTCAGGAGGACTCAGATTCAAGAACTATCTTGGAAAATTGAGAGGATGCTACAATTCAACATGCAGAAGAAGACATTGTTGCTACTTCGGAACTACTCCTACTAAATCAATTCTGAAGGTATAATCTCCAACTTCTTCTTCTGTTCCTCTTAGATATGACTTTCTGATAAACACTCCACTATCCTCACCTATTACAACTACCATTCTGATCTTCTCCATACCTCCATAACCACCAAAGATTTATTTTGGAATTTTACTTCCTCAGATGTTTGTATCTCTATCCTCTCCAATATTTATAGATTCTACTGCTCCTACTACTTCATTAGTCACTAGTACACCGGTGGTCCGTGTTACCAAGTGTGTTTCGGAGGACGTACATACTTTTGGCATTCATGTCAACATGTCTGATACACGGACATATGTCAACATTGGTGTCACTTCAACACAAGGAACTCCTCCCACTTCTTTTTTCAATGAGGCAGAAGATATTTTACTTGAAGATGATCAGGAGCTCATCTCGGAATTTGTGTTCATCCCTTTTGCCATCAACCTCATAAGTGATGATGATAATGTCGCCATGACCAAAAGGCAGTTTAAGAAGCTGAATGAAAAATTGGATTCTCTCTTAGAATCTTCCAAATCTTCATCATCCTCCAACTGGGATTACATGCTGACAAACCACAAGGCCACTGTGGAGATGCTAACCAAAGAAGACGCCAAAGTCCTTGAAAATTCTTCCAAGGCAATTAATGCTTCCAAGAAGACAATTTTATAAACGACTGCAAAAGTCAAAAAACTATCTCAGGAGGTGAATTACTTTATGGCTGAATTCAGAACGTCCTCTGACCCAAATACTGAAGCCATAAAGAAAATCATTGTTGGATTTTGTTACTCATTGAAAGCTGATAGGGAGGCTCTTTCTGTTATTTATTCAAACATTAAAGCTGAGAATGATGAACTCACTTCCTCTATTGTTTCAAAGATTGTAAAGTTGTAGGTGGACTTGGCAACAGAAAACAAGATCATTGACGAGTTGGCTAAAAGCCTTCTGTCAAACGGAAGTATATATGCTAAGGCTTGTGGAGACTCGTGACTCTTTGGTCACGGTCTCAGTTCAACAACACCTCTCAGATAAACTTCAACCAGTCTTTCCGATGCTCAACCAAATTGAATGTGTTTCGGGAAGCGGATCTCTTCCTAAACAAGGGGGAGACAAAGAGCCTCAGCCAAAGCAAACGAATGAAGAACAAAGGCCAAAGACTCAAATTGATCAGAAGGATTATGAAGCTTCTGCATCAACGTAAGGAAAATAGAAAATGGTTAATGATGATGAGGAAGAAGAAGAGCTTTCTGAGTCTAAGAAGCTAGTGAGAAAGAAGCGTGGCAAATAAATTGATGATCTTATGAATCTTTGAAAGGAGTTAGAAACACAAGATGTGGAGGCTCAGATTGCAAAGATTACTCTTGAAACCCAAAAGTCACTCTTTCCTCCATGGTCGATTGAACAATTTCAAAAAGAGGCCATTGACGAACCAAGCATCTATTGGCTTGAGCCTTCAGTCTCATTTGATCTGAATAATGATGTAGAATCTCAACTTAATTTTCCAATCACACCCAGGGTCTTTCTGTTTCGTTGCTTTGAGAAAACTGAATAGTCTTAGATCTCATACAGTGTTGTTAATCAAATTCTCTTCTCCTTCTATCTGAAGTATGCCAAGCCTCAGTACAAGACTTTGAGTTTGAAGAAAATTTGTGCTTTAAGAGTTAAATCGCCTATTCAGACTGAAGACTTTCTAAACATTCAGTTCAAGGGGTTCAGGGGAGCTGATAAAATCATGGATGAGTTTACTTTGGTAGACTCTTTCTGCATGAATCCATGCGATTGGATCTCCTTGTTCATAATTGTTATGAAAGATGAACAAAAATACAAGCCCATTGTGGCCCATCTGAAAAGGATGCTTATCTGCTACATTCTTGAGATAACGAAGATGGATGTAGAGATAGCATCTGTTCGAAAGAAAAGCCAATTTTGAAGCCTGAAGAAGAACCAAATGTTACACCCCAAACTGTAAAACAAACGACGAAAACGTTTGGGGGTGGAGGACGTCATGTGTAGTATCATAACAACTGCAGCATAGTAATCAAAGTAAACACAACCATTACATTATAATATAAATATTTACATATGTTGGTTTCATAGTTTATATACATCAAAAGTAGCAAAAAGGTAAAGACGAGACTCCAAATGCTCTGTCTTCTCAAAATTCGCGCGAGAGTACCTGTCTATTGATGTCCTGAGAATATAAGTGATTTTGAAAACGTATCAGCATAAAGCTGGTGAGTTCACAAGATTTTTTTGCAGTTAAAACCATTTTTATCAAATTTTGAAAAATCTATGAATGCTTCCAAAGAAAATCCAATATTTTCTAACATGTTTGTTTGTTACTGTATGTATAGTATGTTCTGTTTGAAAACCATGGCTACCACTAGTATGTAGTATATGCCTTGTTTGAAAACCCTGGCTACCACCAGTATGTAGTGTATGTTCTATATGAAAACCCTAGCTACCACCACTATGTAGTGTATGTTCTATTTGAAAACCCTGACTACCACCAGCATGTATAGTATTTTTATTACTAAAAATAAAACCAAGTGTTGTATCCCTGGAGTGCCCTCCGGCGTATTGCATAGTAGTTCTCTTAATTAAAATAAAATTATTGAGGAATGAGCATCCCATAAAAAAGGTTAGTTTATACTATTGTGAGTTCGTATAACCATGCTTGATATGACTAGTGACCTCCGTGATGTTTCTTCAGGCATCGTAAGTTATGTTATTAGTCACCCAGGCATGCCTGCCTAACTGTAGCTAGCAGTTTAGGTGTGGGATTGTCAGTCCCGAATAGATCTATTCAAAAAGCTCACACTCTCCCTCTAGGAGACTCTGACTATACTAAATGTAGAGGATTTACCAGTACCCGAAGGGTACAATTGAAGATTTGTCTCACAATCCTGTATTAACTAGTTTACGTGTTATTCTATATCGCTGTTCTCATGTTTGAAATCTTTTGTATACTTGGTAGAGTATAAATAATTATACGCACAATACTTATTTAGTATGATACTCTTGTTATCGATATGTAGTGATGAATAAACAAAATCTATCATAATTTATATGTTTAACCATGTAAGTAGTTTGTATCTGTAAGGCTAGTAATGAATTCGCCAACCTATACCTATCATATTTTGATTGTTACGTTCGTGAACTGTTCTGAAAAATGTGTAATTAAAATTTGAAAACATCCCTTATGCTCCGCATATTACAAAAGGGATGAAGTATTTAAATGCTTTATGAAAATCGTTGATTAATATTAATTGCATAACTTTTAGACTCGTTGAAAATCTTTATGTTTGGCTTGTATTCCCCCCCCCCTCTTAAATAACGTTTAAAAACCATAAAATCGTAGGGGTATGAACTCACCGTTTGTTGGGTGCAAAGGTTGTACTGGAAGATCCTTGAGTCGGTGTACGTGGAACTTAACGAAATCCTAATATCAATAAATACATATATGTATCTAAATTAGCGATTTTGTTAGTTAAAGTGTTAGAAAAACACTTGTTTTCGGTTAAGGAATGTTACCGGGACTTGATTGAATCGAGGAAATAGGATTTTAACGAATTAGGTGACGTGTACAGCCGTGAACAAGGGTTTACGGTTGTGAAGAGTGGTTTACAGCCAGAAGGCAATTTACGGCCGTGAACAGGGTTTATTGCCGTGAACTCCTTTTTGAAGGGCTTACTGATTTTGTCATATTTATACATATTTTAGGCAATATTTATTTACATTTATTTTAATATTTTGGTTATTTGCATAGAATAATGGTACTTATAAGTTTAAATTGTTATTTTGCAGCCAAATAAAAGCATTTTCAAAGATAGGGATTGAAATTGATAGAATATGGAACTTTGGAGGATTGAAGAAAAGAAGAACGAAAAAAGCCAGCAAAAGATGTACTCACGACGTGAATAATTGATGATTCACGACATGAGTGGAGAATTGTAGAAGGTATGCATGCGGGTGATAGAGTCCTTGCCGAACACGCTTATCCCATATTCACGGCGTGAATCCTTATGGTTCACGATGTGAATTCAAAAAATCAAAAAACTATATAATCTCTTGTCCCTTACGACTTTAGAGACTTTTGGGTGACTGGAAGGTTACCTGAAGATGATTTTGAGCAGAAGAAGAGTTCTTGAAAAGGATTTCAACATCAAAAGGAGTAAAGGTTCATAATTAGTTAACTAGTTTGATAGTTATGAACATGTTTGATAATTTGATTTGTTTTTGCTTACTTGTTACTATAAGTATCTGAATCTAGCAGCTCTTGTCTAGCTAGATGAAGCTTCTGAATTATGTTTTAGCTCAATGACTATTGAATTTGATCAGTTGGTAAATTGCTTGTGTTTGATTATCATTACCTAGAATGTTATTTTAGTTTCTTAGTTGCTTAAATTCATGTTTTGTGAAGCTTAGTAACCATTAAATTACATGAACTTGAAACCTAGTGATTTAGAGAACACTGAATTGCTAAAGCTAGGATCGAACAAAATCTTAGATAAGTGATAAAAGTCACTAATTTAGTTGTGCTAGAGGACATAATTTATGGCTATAATTGTGTTTTCTAGATGAATCTTACATACCTCAACCATAATTAATAACTAATTTTGTGTTTTGCTTATGTGTGACCATACAAGGTAGTTCATGAATTGGTAAAAAGATTAGTAAATTAGGACTTGAATTGCTAATTACATAATAATTGGTGACCAACTTTGATAATCCATAATTATTAGCTAAACAAAAATAAAGAAGTGGATTCAAACTAAACAGGAGTGTTTTTAATTAATTGATTAAACTATGTGCTTTAAGTTCGGCTGGTCTTGCAAAATCAGATAAAACCCCCTCTTTGCTCTAAAATTAGGTTAATTTTTACAGTAGATAAATTAATTAGTCAAAACCGTTCCCTGAGATCGACACCCGACTTATCCAACTATTCTATAATTCGATTAGGTAAACTACCTAGGTGCATTTTAGTTATTTGAATTAGTTAGGTTATAAATATTAAAATTAGTTGGTACTTCTGTGCACATCTAGTTTTTGGCGCCGTTGCCGGGGAATGGCTTAGTTAATTATTAGTTTGTTTGCGTTAAATTAATCGATCATTTTTGTAGGGTAAAACATGCAAGAAGTTGATTTTCAGTTTCATTTTTTTTCTGCATTACAAGACTCATGACATGAGCCTTATAGCTCACGACATGAGAACTGAAGTTCTTAGTTTTATTTATTTTAGTTTGTATTTCTTAGTTCGGTTTTACGTTTTTATTTTTTTGTTTTATTTTAGGAGTTCATGACCAGAGGATCTAACACACCTTTGGTGCCACCATTTGAAATCCCAAGTCTACAATTCACAAAAAGAAGGATAAGAACATGAAAGAGGATCAAATACCAAAGAAGACACCTTTACAAGAATTCAAGTCAGTGTTCTCAAAGAAGTCGGGGAAGAAAATGGGGGAGTCAAGTTCATTTTCAAAGAACAAGAGCAAGCTTGAAAACTTAGATCAATTACCCATCCAAGCCGAGTCCGAATACGATACTGAGCCTGAATTTGAATTACATACAAGTGAACCCGAGAACGAGCCAAGGAACGTGATGGCGAACATTGAAGAAATTTCCACGGGAGCTTACAGAAAGAGAATTTGAGATGATGTTGGTCCAGGCTTAGTACAACCTGCCATTCTTGCCACTGCCACATTCGAGCTAAAAGGACATATCCTTTCTGCAATAAAGGATATCCCTTTATATGGATAAGATCATGAGGAGGCGTTCAGGCACTTAGATGAAGTCAATGACATTTCTGATTACTTTAATGTCCCAAATGTTAATAGAGATACCATCTTGCTAAGGATGCTTCCCGTTACTTTTAAAGGAGCTGCAAAGAATTGGTTAAAATCACTTCCATCTGGTACAATCACTACTTGGGCTCAAATGTGTGAGTAGTTTCTAGACCAATTCCTTCCACCATCCAAGATAGCTAAACTCAAGAAGGCAATAGCTAATTTTGAGCAAAACCCGGGGGAGTTACTTTACGAAGCATGGGAGCGTTATCAAGGGTTGTTAAGGAATTATCCTCAACATGACCATAACATTCAACAAGAAGTATCAATATTCTATGACGGGGTAAATGTGATGACAAGACAACTCCTTGATTCTCAAGGACCACTTACAAAGAAATGGATGCTATGATGGCAATCATCTCATGCAATTAGAGTTGGTTGTAAACGATGTAATGGGCCACACTTGACTAAAGATTGCCATTTCGATGAGTATGGGAACAAAAAGGCTCAAGTTTGCTATTCAAGTGGAGATAAATATGATGAGGGCTGGAGAAAAACAAAGAAAGAGTGGCTACCATATGAAGAATACAAGAAGCAAAAGGAAGAGAAATATAAGTAGATAGGCTGAGGCTTCTACCAAAAAGAGTAGCCACCAACTGAGAAGAAAGTAGACTTAGAAAATACGTTGACCTGATTCATGGAAGCATCTGAGAGAAGACATGATGATACCGATGCCGTGCTAAAGGAACATATGAATATAATGGAGGAACAACACAAAATGATGATTGAACAACAAGCTTCATTAAGAAATCATCAATCATCGATTCAAAGTTTAGAAGTCCAAGTTGGTCAACTCACTACTTTGGTTAATAACAAATTATCTTCACAACTTCCTGAAAAGAAAGCTCAACCTCATGTTATGGCTATTGATACTGAAGAAGAGGAAAATTTTGAGTTCCTAGAAGCATTAGAAGTGGAGCCAAAGCCATCTGAACCGAAGCCAAAGAATTCTAGGCTCAAAATCGAAGAAGCTGCTAAAACGCCATATGCTCATGACGTGGGCTCGGTCTGAACAGAATAAAATTGTATCTGTTCCAGCTTATAAACTGCCTTTTCCATTCCCGTCTCAAGCACATCTTAGCCC